CCGCGCGCCTCACAATAATCCGCAGGCCCGCAACCTCCCGTCAGCAGACAGCTCCGGACTGATCGACCCATACTTGAAGGTCAAATTCCTGGGAGAGGTGAGCCGGAGAAAGACACAAGTTGGGGCAAGCGTTTTGTTGCGGGTCACGGCGATTGTGGTCATGGGCTCTTGTTTTTGTTGCACACAGAAGACTTGCCAGACTGCTATGTAAGCGCCTCCTTGCGTGCGTTCAGTTGTTATTGCCAGTTCCCTAGTAGGGGATTGGTGACGTTGTCTATCGTTCACGCTGTTCGGTCGTGCAGGAGAGGAGGGGAGAGGAGAGGAGGGGCAGGTCGAAAAGGGAGCGAAGGCGTGGAGGGAGCGCGCCCCTCCGACGCGCCGACGCGCTTGTCAATAGTGACGGGACGAAGGAACACTCGCTTGTTGTTGCCCCGGCCCTTGGCGACTTGGAACCCAACTCGGCAGTCGTTCTCTGTGTGTGCATGTTTGCGTTCCGAATCTGGGGTGGGGTTAACGTGGGGCCAAACCGTCCCGCTGCGCTTGTTTCCGTGTCTTTGTGGTGCATGTATGCATCTCTTGCGGTAGTGATTTATGAATATTACCCGTGTTTTCTGGTCTGTATCCATTGCCGACAAGCGGAGCTTGGTAATATTAACAGTAGGTTTGGTGGACGCTGGCGATGTTTGTGCTCGCCAAGGAGACAAGGAACCGGATACACGTCACTTGTACTACACACCCACCAACACCGAGGTCTTTCATAACCTTCACTGCTTTTCATGCCCCCCCCCTCATCGGTGATCGGTCCTGTGGGAGCAATGCTCCGTCCTCTCGAGGACGCGTGGTCAATGGTCTAACCGCTAAGACATGCAAAACATAANNCCCCCCCCCCCCCCCCCCCCCTCTTTCTCTACTCGGTTGTGCAGACGATCAACACGGAGAACATCAGCCAACTCCGGCGGCGTCAGACCGTGGACCCCATTTGGTACCACACCCTGAGGTTTAATACCACGTTGCCCCCGAAGGAGTACCAGCGATACTTCCNGGGGGGGGGGGGGGGGGGGGGGGGGGGGGGGGGGGGGGGGGGGGGGGGGGGGGGGGGGGGGGGGGGGGGGGGGGGGGGGGGGGAGGGGGGGGGCGTACACATGTTTTGCGTGCCTTACATAGCCGTGGACCGTTGGCCACGCGTCCTCGAGAGGACGGGGCATTGTTCCCACAGGACCGATCACGGATGTTCAATCCTTCCTTCCTAGTTCGCGTTCTTGTAGGCCAATGTCCCCAGTCCTACATTTGACCTTCGGAGGGGGAGGGGCGCGTAGGAAGGCAAAACACAGGAGAATGATCGAAAACAAGCAGAATAGAAAGAAGGGGGAGGGGGGGGCGGGGGGGCGACTGCAAACGCTTGAACCTAGAAGGTGGGTAGGTAGATCGTCCATCACGTAGTGAAAACACGATCGTGAATATGTAGTTCAAGTTGTGGATTGGGTTTTAGCGATACGTACATGCATGCACCGGTGCCTTCTGCCTCAAGAGGCGGACGTATTCGATTTACACCGAAGACCATATTCTTCATTGGTGAGGCCTCTCTGGTCCCACAAGCGCTCTTCTTCATTGCACCCGTTCTTATTTCCATTTCCATGTGCTGCTTCTCTCCTTTCTCTCGGTGTGCCCCATGCTTGGAATCTATTTTGTGCTCTTCCCAGGTGTCCGTTCAGTTGTTCGACTATGATATCGGCTTCGTCGACGACTACTGCGGAAACCTCTTCCTCGACCTCGACGAGCTAGACGTGAGCATCACTCCGGCACCGCAGTCGTCGTTGCCGCTGCTGCCGCTGCTGATGCTACTGATGCCACTGATGCTGCTGTCGCAGTGTTAATAATCTGTTTCTGATTTGCTGCTGTGGGACAGTCAGTAGACATGGAGCATCCAGATGCACGGCACTATCTGAACCTTGGGGCTGCAGTGGGAGCGCGAACCCACCAGCAAATGCAAACCCTGAATGTCCACCCCCTCCCCCCCACGTCCTGTGGGAACAAAATGCCGGCCTCTTAAGTGGTCAATGGTCTAACCGACAAGACATGCAAAACATGAGTACCCCCCCCTCCCCCCCCATACTCACCAGATCATCCAAGCTGACCGGCGGACGGAGTCCATCCCGAAACCCGGGACCCCTGCGTGGAAATGCTTCTTCATGGAAACCCCAGGGGACAGCCAGGGCGAGCTGCTGGTGTCGGTGCAGCTCATCCACACCAAGTCGGCCGACCTACCAGAACCCGAGAGCATCGTTCCCAAGACGCGCACGGTAATGAGAGTGGTGGCTGTGATTGACCTTCGTCGTCGTTGTTGTTGTTGTTGTTGCCTATTTGTATTTGATCGCTAAAAACGTAATTGACACAAGATAACACACCCCCTGGACCGATTTTCAAATCTCGATTTCTCGACAGCAGAAAGAGTTACAGCGCGGAAAACGGTGTAGTTGAAGCTGTCTCGTCTAGAGCTTTCCGAAAATGTATTGTTTCATTTATCCATCCTCTTCGTTGTCGCATAATCTAGCTTTGAAAATTGGTCCAGGGGATGTGTTATCTTGCGTCATACACGGTGGTTGGTTGGTGGTTTGGATTGTTGTCATAGTCGTTGATTGGTGATTTGGATTCTCGTCGTAATCCCTCCCCTCTCGCCCGCCTGCTTCTTGGTGGAATCTGGAACGACTAAAACCAACGCGATGAAACAGGCGCATCTGGACATGATCATCATGGGGATACGCAACATGCAGCCGTACAAGTACCTCCCGATGCAGCTCCCGTATTGCGTCTTCGAGGTGACGTAACGTGTCGTTTTTTTTTTTCATGCTACTTTCTTGAGGTGACGAAATAGTGCGGCCGGCGAGGGAATGTGCAAGGTGTGCCCGTCTTCGAGGACCACGATGTTTTTGTGCTGTACTGGATGGAGCTCTCGCTTCCCCCAAGATGAAGTGTTCCCGGGAATCGAGTCTAAGTCACCCAGGTCTTTCGTTGCAGCACGTACATGGATGACCAAAGGTGTTGCGCGTGCCCCACGGTCTTTCTTCCAACTCATTTTGGTCCAATCGTTGTGTGCCGGGGGGCGCTGCCGCGCGCGGGCGCGCGCGGCTCACGCATGCAGGTGGATGACATGGACGGAACGAAGCGATCAGTCCTGACGGACTCTTCCAACAAGCCGACGGGACGCGACGCCAATTTCCTCCAGGTAACCAACCAACCCCCCCGTCCTCCTTACGAGTGTTGCAGTTCTATTTGTTCCAGGGTACCGCCCCCTACTCGCCGTCCTTGAGAAACAACACCCGCCGCTTACCCCGATACGTGTGTTTGAGTGACGCGGCGGCGGTGGCGGGGAACCAAAGCTTGTGCGTATATCGGGGGATGATGCATCTTGGCTGTTGGTATCGGTATCGGAGTGATGCCTGAATGAGCAAACTTATGCAGCGTACGTTGCGACCGAAATGAAGGCGCTTGCTTGCACGTGAACAATCGCAGTAGAAAAACTATGCCCAGAAAGGTAGATGTTCTCATGTACCATGTTTTTTCATCGACGGCTTCCTTGCACCGCAGCCAAGCCTACCCATGGGTGAGTTAGTCACCAGGTTCTTCTTCCCGGGATTAACGCGACATGTTGTCCACAGAGTTGTGTTTTATGTGCTTTATATTATAGAGATTTGTGGATGAGGTTTTAATTCTTTACCTCGGTCGACGGAGAATGATTGAGATTGAACTGCGGATTGCGAGTATGATCGGCTTGCACATGTCACCGGAGTTGTTTTTGTCGGCAGAGTTCGATGTTGTTATACGGTTGACGGCACCATGCTCTCTCTGTCTTCCTCTCTCTCTCTGATTCTCTCTGTCTATATAACCGGCACGCCCTCAACCATGCAATCGACCAGGCGATGTGTCGAATATTCAGTGGTAAGGCTAACAATGGACGACTACGCGCCTTCCCGCACCCCAGTCTTGTAAAATTATGGTATTGACGCTCTAACTTCGCCGCTCTGTCGACGCTCGGCTTGCGTACGTGTGGCATCATCCGTACATCTACATCTACCCGTGGATTGTTGGCACCAGCGCATCAAAATGGAGTTGCAGCTCCCGCTCGATTTCATCTACGCCCCGCGTGTAAAGATCAGGTGAGAGTAAAATTGGTCCGAAACCAACGTCACTCGATGCCGCAAATCGCCATGCTGGTGTCGATACCGTCCCCCCCGCCCCCCCCGTTCTTGATCCGAGACTTGAAGAAGCGGCGGCGCCAAGTGGGACTCTGTTATTTGCTGTGTCTTCCTGTTGGCATTCTCTGTCTTACCCTCCCTGCCTGGCATCCTGTGAATAGTAATATTTATCTTCTTGACAACGAAGCGAAACCGTTGCTCGTTGAGGAAAGGGTGGATGCGAAATATACCAAAGATAGAATTGAGATGCAATGGACGAAGCAGCAAGCTTGCGTCAACGCCCCCCCGCTCCTGCAGACAACTATGATATTGCGTGTCCCCCCACCCCCACTGTGTTCCACACTACTTCCTAAGGGTATACGACACTCGGCTTGGAGGGTTCAACGTGCCCCTTGTGGGGACGGGTCGGATTGAGCTCGGGAAGAAGCTGCCGTGGAGCCCGGAGTACGAGGCGCCCCTGGCCAAGACATTCGCAAAGGACGACCTGCTGCGGGCCATCACGGCGAACGGGTTAGTCGGTGAATGCGTCCTATTCTTGTAGTCTGTGCCTGTGGTGCTTCGAAGCGTGTTGTTTTAGTATGTAGGCAAGCGTGAAGGATTCACAGCGGTTTGATCGATTTGTGGCATCGTTGACACGAGTCATCGACCAACCAAAAGCGCAGTCCAGCTTCTACTGTGTGCCCGCTGCCCCCCCCCCCCC